TATATATATATATATATATATTGTTATATTCTCTGATTCTCGAAGGAAGTAAATGGAACGGTCGATTGAATAATATGATGTATCACGCGTTCCATTTAATTACGCAAATCGCGGGAGAAGTTGAAAGTTGAAAACAGGATATGCGAAAGGCAAATGATTATTGCGAACGGTACGCTGTACGAATTAGGTCAGCATTGGATGTATACATGTATATATAACTATATGTATAGATATATATACGTATATGTATACAACAAATGTGTTTGTATTTCTGTTCCTCGAGAGCGCTTAAGCAAAGAGTGAACAAATTTCTTTATCAAACAAATCCTCGATACGCGAACGTGTTTTTAAGTAATTGCTTTCCCTCCGTGGCTAAACACCTCCATCTGGCGTTAATTTTAATCAAGTAAAATACGCTCAACTTCTTCCGTGACACATCTCACTCCGAGCTTTAAGAAAAGATTATAAAAAAAGCAAAAAAATATTATGTTCTATTTGATAGATATTTATATATATAGAAAACAATATTTTTCTTCTTTCTTTTCTTTCTTAATTTAAATATTTTTCTAAATTGCTTATGATATCTAATATAATCAAAAATAAAAGAATCTCTTAAGACGCTAAGATTATGAAAGATACGAATTACTCGTTAATTGTAATAATAAAGCAATCTATGTTTTTGTAACAACTAGGTAACCAACTTTCATGCAGAAGTCGAGGGATCCATATCTGTGTTACGCACAATCCCCACCACAAACTTTCTCATTTCTCTATTCTATCTACTATCCATATTCTCATTTTTCTTCCCAATCTTTTTATTGGTCTATACTATTCTTTTCATTGCCCACCATAAACTTTATTTGTTGATTTTATTATTGATTTCGTTCATTCCAGTTTAGATTTATACTTTTTCCATGAAATTTGACCAGATATATTCGATCATTAATATCAGTATGGCTAGAGCTAATAATATAATAAATTAACACAGGGTTAAATCTGTTATTTTAAATAATGATAATCGATCTAAATCCATTTTAATCCATTTCGAATGTTTGGCTGTGGGTGGTGGCCACCAATCGTTGCTGCATATAATACTCTTGGTAGCTTTCAAAGTTATTACCCAGTGTTAATTTAAGATAAATGAAGGGACAAAAAGAAACATGAAAGATATGTTTACCTGGAGAAGCTGATAATCCTAGGCAATGAGCGTTCCGTGATGCAATGATACTGGCATGGCGCTCTCCGGTACGACACTGAAACTGTACTCGACTCGTCAAGTGTCCTACCTCGGAAGGTTCGTCTCCTGGACTGCCACCGTTCAGAAACCTACATACACTCACACCTACTACCTGGTTGCTGGCACGCTATTGATCCTGGCCCAGACACCCGTCGACCCACGCAGACGCTTAGCGTTGCCGCGTCGCTTTAGACATGACGTCATTCGATTCCTCAAACCCCGTACCGCAACTGAGCCAGCATCATGCATCGTCCTTTTCTTCCTTGATACAACTACCATAAAGCTACTAATTCTCGTCCAATATATTTTATCGTCTCTGCAAATATTATGATTTTCAATATGATCACATTAATTGGCAAAATCATACATACCATATCAACCAAACTTTCCATATTCTTTTTTTAAAAATATTTCTTATTAACGATCTTTATATAATTTTGTAAGAAAATACTTTCATCTCCAAATTGAATAAATCGATTAATCATAAATCATTGATCGATCATAAATATCGATATCTATCGATCGATTTCTATATAATGATATTCTATGATATACGTATTTTAAATTAAAAACAATTTGTTACTTTAGTTTTTATTAATAGAATAATATTTTTTCATTTTTTCTAAATATATAAATATATAAATTCAGACATATATATATGTTATATATATATATATATATATACTTTTTTTTTTACACAAAACAAAACATATAATTTTGACATTATATAATTATAATAATGCAAAAATTATAAATATATTTACTATAATTTATGAATATAATTTTTTTAATTAATAACTACTAAAATTAAATTAAAAAATAATACATAAAATTTAATAAAAATTATAATTGAATTATAATAAATTTGAAAATTTAAATTTAAAATGACATATATATTTTACAATTTTTTATGATTTTTAAAATTTATTTTATTTCATAATTATATATTCATAATAACTTCCCATATAATTACTACATATATAACATATTTGTTCATTATAGATAATAATACAATTTCATTGCAAAATGGAAAGTATTATTTAATAAAGTCATTCTTATTTTTTAATGAGAAAATTGTAAAAAAAAATTATAAGTAATTTTGTAATTCATTTTTTGTAAACTGTCGTCGTTCTTGATTAAAACGATTTTTGTATAATTTTCTTCCTTCAGTGTTTAATCTGGTTAATCTCTTTGTAAGCATCATAGGTCTTAGTAAAAATTCTTCCAAAGTTATCTTAAAAAAAAAAAATTATATATTAATAATATAATAATATATAGCAAAATAAAAATTATATAAATTTTTGAAATATATTTAAAATAATTTACTGTTGTTTGAATAAGTTCTAGTTTTTTAGCTTGATTTATTAAATCAAGTAATTGATTGGATTCTTCTATTTCTTCTGTTTTCAATTTTTCTTCCAATTCATATATCTATAACATAAAAATAAAAAGAAACTTTATTATATATTATATATAATCATTACATAAAAGTAAATTATATTAAAATTTAAAATTGAATCAAACAATATCATCAATGATACAAAAATTATAAATATTAACATTATGCTAAATTTTCAATAATTTTTTTTAACAAAACTATATATATTTTAACAAAAAAATAATCTTACCACATCTGCAAAAATAAAATATTTCTGTTGAACTACATTAGAATTTTCTACTACTTGTTTCAAAATAGGAATTATTTGTAAATATCTTTGCAGATTCATATATGCCAATATTTTGAGACTTCTTATACTCATAATTCTGTCCTTTTGAATTGTACTCAATATATCTAATGCTAATTCAGATGCATTATTTTTTATTGCTAAATATGATATTAATGCATAACTTCTCGCTGAAGGTTTTAGTATTTCAAATTGTTTCTTCCAATGATCTAAAGCATATTCCAATGCATCTGGAGTATTCTAAATAAAATAATTATTTTTTTTTAAGTTTTATTTTTAAATGTTAATCATTATGTATAAAAAATTACTAATTAAAAATTATTGTTACCTCCTTTAGACATGCAGCATATATTAAAATATTATTAGTGCCAATGAAATCCATACCATTAGTACTTAATACTTTGTCATATACCTCTTTCATATCTTTGAACATATTATTTTTAAATAATAAACACATTAAGGTACGAAAAGATGAGCGATAATTAAAACTATTCCTTAAAACTTCATTCTCAAATGCTTGTAAAGCATATTGTGGTTGATTCAAATGATAATACATTCTCATTACTACTGGTCCAAACACATATGAACCAATCTTACTTTCTTCATGTTTCTGAACATATTTTTTTAACATGTCATTTAATAAAGACATATCTTGCTCGTTAGGTCGTGCTAAATGAATCATTGCTTTTAAATCTTCTGTAAATACTATTCCATCATCTTTTTGACAAATTTCTTTCATTTTCTCACGAAAAGTATCTTCTATTGACATAAATTGATTACGAAATATAAATCTCGAATTTTCATACAATGTTACACCCAAATCTTGATCTGTGTATATACATCGAATCCCAACTAAAAAATAAAAAATGAATATTATAAAATGTAATCTTTATTTTTACAAAATTAATATTAGAATTTATATATTTTTATTATTTATTATTAGCCGTAGTAAAATTGAAATTTATTACGCCGATTTAAATCTATTTGATTTAAGTTTAGGTTAATAGTACATACCATTTAAAAAATTAGATTTGAAAAAAATATTTTTTGTTTGCAAAATATTTAATTTAAAAAGTCCTCTTATACTAACTGCCATGATTCAGTGAATAAATAAATATTACTTTGTATAATATATTTTTACATGAAAAAAACACAATTATCTTTACCAACTATTTCTTATGATTGCAAAAGAACTACAGCGGAAATGATAACCACATGGTTTCCAATTATACAATTATAATCAATTGTATAATTAAAATATGTTTTATTTTTTTTTTATAGATATTACATGATTTTTATCGCTTTTTTAAAATTATTTTATTTTCTTACGATATTTTATTTTTTACATTAAAATTAAATAATAAATAATAATAAAATATATAGTTAGTTATATATAATATATATAATATTATTTAACATTTAAATATATATAGTTAATTAAAAAGAATTATGATATTTGAATTATAATTTATTTTTAATATTTTTAAAATACAATATGTTGTAATTATCTTTTAAATTATAAAATAATTTATTAATTAATTCGAAATAATTTAAAATTTGTTTTATTTATTAATTTTGGTTGTCTTATATATTATATAATATATAATATATAATAAATATCCTCCTAAGGTTAAAATATCATTTTCATAGAAATATTTTTACCTAATAAAGAGAATCACATTCTTAAATTAAATTAAAAAAAAATTACTGTTTTCATTTTAAAAATTAATTTAATTTTGAATAAAAAATAACACATAAAATTATTTGTTTTCTTTTATATTTACATATTATATGATTAATGATTTTCATTTCTTTCTTTCGTTAAACTAATATATACTTATATAATTAATAGAAGAAAATAAACGATAATTTATTGATTTTCTTATTTCTAACTTATTTTCTACATTATTTTATATAAATATATATATGTACTTTATTACATACATATATTTTTATGCTTAAAATTTAGTTAAAATTATATATATTTTCTAAATTTTATATACTAACTCTTAAATCTAGTTTTTATAATTTTTAAATCTATATTATTTTATTTAAATATTGTTTGTATCATTGTTTCCTAAGATTATTTATTAAATTTTTTTATTTATTCAATTTAATAAAAATTACATTTCACTAATACTTTACTAAATAAAATGAATTTCAATAATATTAGAATATTTAATTTTAAATAAAAAAAAAAGAATATTACATAAACTTTAATACATTAATATTAGAATTAATTCATATTTTTAATTATTTTAATTTACTCTCAGGTACACGCAACTGCTTATCAGTTTTTCTTTTCAATTGATATTTATTTGAAAGGACAACATTACGTAATGTTGAATGAAGAAATCTTTTATTAATACATTCTTTTGGTTTTATCCATCCACTAGGACCCATTATTTCTGCTCTTTTTGCTCCAAGTTTTGCTTCTTCCAATAATGCTTCAACTGCAAGTCTAAAAATAAAATTATAATTTTAATAAAAAAATGATAAAGAAGATTTTAAAATAAAATAATTATATATTTTATTTTATTATTTTAATTATTATATTAATTTATAATTTTGTGATTGGATTATTCATAAAATGTGTATATATATATATATATATAAAACAGTCAACCTATTTATTAAATTTAATAGATATTAATTATTAATACAGATTCTCTGAAATATAAACTCACCTATTTAAAGTTTCGTCATCCATTTTATCAATATTTAATAATTTTTGTTTTTTAATCTTAAAATATTAAATACAAAATTTTTTATTAATATATCTTTTATAATTAAATAAAATTGTTCGTTAAATTGATTTATTTATTAAATATAATGAAATAATTTTCAGTCTTTTTAATAAATACAAAATAAAGAAATTATTACTATGTAATTATCTATGTAAAAAATGAAATTACATACTTTCTGTCTAGCATAGACAACGATGTTTGATGTATTAAGGTTAACTTTATGTCATAAGTACTTACAAACTAAATTATGTATACAATTCTGAATATATTATAAATTATAGATTAATAAATTTTCATATACAATAATTTACATTTTTTAATTTTAATTAAAATAATTTTAGTTTACATACAAGAAAATTAATAGTATTTATAATTTTTAAAATACCATTTATAAATTGTAAATATTATTTTAACTACCTTTTAGTATATACGATTTTCTTGTTTTATATCTAATTAAATAATTTTAAAAATTGAAAGTAAAAATATTGAAATGAATAATAATTTGTGTATTTACAAATACATTAAATTTGTATTATTTTTTAAATATAAATTCAAATAGATAATTATACTTATATTTATATTGTATTATAATTACATAACATAACTTTATATAACATAAACTATATATTATAATATAAAACTAATTCTGTTTTAGAATAATGGAAGATTTTGAATTGATTGCATTAAAAAAATTAAAAGAAGAGCTTATTGTAAAAGCATACAACTTAATTGAGAAATTAAAAAAACAAGAAGAGGACCAACAAATTGTTACGATAAAGTTGTATTATAGTTATTTTTTTATATTATATTTTATTTATTGTTATATATATTACATATTAATATATATAATATGTATTAATATGTATTTTTTTTATATTAGTTTGTCAAATGCTATGAAAATTACTAATAATTCAGAAGAGAAATTACAAGAACACTATGAATATAGATTATGTGAAGTTTCGCAACAAGTCACTGGTATAAACTTTAAAAATATTGACAAGAAATGGTTACATGATAATATTTATAAATATACAACATATTTAACAACAAAAATGTTAAGTTTCTATATAGAATTAACAGTAAAATTAAAGGTATATTAAATTGTTCAAAATATAATAAAAATATTTTTTTATGAATTAGATTTTCTTATGTTTTTGTTTTATTTAGGATGAAAAAGAATTTGAAATTTGTGACATAACATGTCATTTTACTAACATTAATAAATGCTTTATGTTGGAGATAGAGCCTTGGGTAGAAATTATAACTAAAATGAAAAACTTTTCACTTCTTATATCAAGTATTTTTTCAAATTTTGTAATTTTTTGCTTAATAATAACAAAAAATACATTATTAAAATTTTTTTTTAGCAATTTCACAATATAATGAACTAACTATAGTCAGAAAACATATATTAGATACATTAGAATCTAAGATGTATGCAAACTATGAAAATTGTACAGATGAAAATGGTGGAATCTTATTATATATACATTCAGTTAAAAATATAAAACAAGTTTATCTAATATTTCAATGGTCAATATTATTTTTGGAACGGTTTTGGGGAATTAAACATCATTTTACTATAACTCCTACAGAAATAGGTATAATAAATTATGATTACAACATTTTATTTATTATGGTTCATCTCTATAACAATATATGATATATAACGCTATAATGATTTCAGGAATAAAGTTTGCAGAAGAAAATTGTTCTTTATTAAAAAAATTTTGCAAACCAAATATTATGAAAAAAGATCTTATTCATTTATGGAATGATCTATGTTCTGCTATTCATTTATATGAAAATAAAAATGATTCAAAAAAGGAAGATATAATATGTAATATGGAATGATAAATCATTCTTTTATGAATAAGTATTATGAATTATCATAAGATTTATAACATTTTTTTTAATTACTTTTTTAAATTACTGTCGTAATATATAAAAATAATTAAATATCTAAAAGACATGTATTCAAAATGAAATCAATAAATATTTATTTTAAACATATTTATTATGTTATTCTTTTAATATTATCTTATAAAATTCATATTTAGAAATATAAAAATAATAAATTTATTTTCCATTATAATATTTATGTTTTTTAAATAATTGTATTAAAATATGTTTAATAGTTACTTCTTTTGAATATTATTTTTCATTCATTTCTCTATATATATAAATAAGAAAGTGGAAGGTACAACTCCCCAGTGGCGCAATCGGTTAGCGCACGGTACTTATAAGACAGTAAATTTGTGAGCAATGCCGGGGTTGTGAGTTCGAGCCTCACCTGGGGAAATTTTTTTTTATTATTTTTTTTTAATATTCATATATTAAAAATATATCATACTTAAAATATATCTTAAATGTACAACTAATTTATATATTAATTATTATATTACATATTAAAATATTCAAAATTTATTATATTTAAAATATATATTCAATTTATATTTAATTATTAATTTATGGTTATTATATTAAGTATTATATTAAATGATAATTCTTATTAAATAATTATTATATTGGATTATCATATAAATATATTAAAACAAAAAATTATAATTGTTTTTATTTTTATTTTTTTTTATTAGTATGTAAGTATTTTAGTTCATTTATTAATACTTTATAAATACAATACTAAACCAATTTTTAATATGTTATTTTGTGACAACTTTATTTAAATGCTTACATTGTTTACAAATTAAATATATAATAAAATAGCTAAAAGATGTTAGCCTACAGTCTCTATTTTTATTTCTGTTTCTGATTCTGATGTTTCATTTGCTTTAGCTTCTTCAACAGCTCTTCGCTTCCTCCATGATATCATATATGTTCTTGGATGAATTGGAAAAAAACCTGCAAGTCCTAAAAGTATTGCTACTGGTTTTGATACTCTAACATTTTGTCCCAACCAATATTGTATACGTTCAAAATTGAAAGCAACTATTTTTTCATTATACTTATTTGGCATAGGATCATACGTGCCTAATTGTTCTATTGGAGGTTTATGTTGCTTATATTTAGTCTGAATAAAATATATTTATATATTTATATTGATAATTTGTCAGAAATTTTTTTACAATAAATTTATTCATACAAATATAAAAAGATAAATTTGTAATTTATGCATATTATAAAAAAAAAGGCATTATAATATATATATATAAACTCAATTGTTGAAAAAAGTATACATAATTGACAAGAATATAAATTAAATAATTTTATGAAACTGTACATATGATTATACGATTATAAAATAACATATAAATAACATAATATAACATATAAATAACATTTTATTTTTAAAAAATCTTATTAAGTATGAAAATAGCTGAAATTGAAAATCATTTACAAAAACTTACATTCGTAACAACAATATGAAAGAAAGGTCTATTGGCACATCCGTAACGAACACATCGTATCGTTTTAGGCCATAAATTAGAAATGCCAGTTCCAGATGAAGGATGTAATGATAATCGTGGCATTTCTTGAAATGTTAATATATTTTAAATAAATAATTTTTTTTTACATAAATAATATTAAGTTAATACAATTATATAAATCTATCTTTTTATCACGTAAAAAAGTTTTATCTGATCATTGGAGGTTATAATTAAGATAATCTTTCAGATAATTAATTTCGCATTAATAATTTAAATTATTAATATACAATATTATGTTTAATTAATAATTATAATAATCGAAATTATTTAATATAAAGGAAATTAAAATTTAAAACATGATTTGTTTAAATAATTTTTTAATGGATATTATTTATTTATATACAAAATTATATGGAAATAAAATATAATATTGTATTTAAAATATTTAAAATATAATATATTACTGTTTCTTATATGTGACTACCTTATATGTGACTAAAAAAACATCACTATAATTAAATAATTTAATAATTATTAAATCATTAAATACTCAATATAGAACGGAAAGTTTCATTGAAAATCAATAGACTACTATTAGCGACATCTGACGACACATGATACGAATTAATTAAAATAAAAAAAAATAATCTTAACAAACAAAAATAATTTTATAAAGTTTGTATTAATATTTTTTATATTTTAATAAATTTGTATAATATTATGCTATTTACAATATTCAGAAATAGATTTCGAACAGATTTTTTTCAACAAGTAAAATATCATTTATGAATAAATTTTAAAATAAATATTAATATTATTTACAATATAAATATATAAATATATACAAAATATATATAAAACATATCTTGTCTACAATATATCTGTACAAAATAAGAAAATTTTGATATATTATCAAACAAATTGTATTCTATAGATGAGCGCATGTGCAGCATGTAAATTCTTATAGGTGCTTTCATTCTCAGTGTTCGCTATACAGCGTTCAGATTCGGATTGATTCGTAGAGCGGAATGATTTCGTTGTCAGTTTGACACGCACAAGCGTGCTATTCGTTTGGAGAGTGTAGTGTGTAAAGAATTTCTTAATAATTATACAATTTCTAATTCCATGTGCATCGCGAAATAAATTATTAATGTTTGTATATAAAACAACGTGGCTTTGGAAAACAAATGAAAATCGTGAAAATAAAGATTATAGAATCATTTCTTATTATAATCATTGGTTAATAGTGTTCGTGGAATGTGAATACGAGATCATTTTTTTTGCAATTATTTAGTCTTCGAATGATACTTTGAAAGGGAATAACCTCAATTTAGAAAAATTAAGTTTATGTAATTGTGAACGATTGCAAGATTTGTTGAAGAATCATGAGCGATATACCAAGAGTGGAGTTTGCACTTGGAAGTGAAGTGTCGCTGGAACACTTCTTCAAAAGTAGCTTCGCGCGTTCTTTTGTGACCAATTGCCGTGACTCAAAATCATTGGATTATGAGCTTCTTAATAACGCTTTCGTTGAAGAAACAGAAACAAATACTAAAAAAAATAATTTCTTTTCCCTCGTAAATTTTGAAAATAAAATAACGAACATTGTGGACAATAAACATGTTTTTAATAAGGATAATACCAACCTTCGAAGAACAAAAGAAGTAAATATTATTTTCTTAACCAAATTATTTATATATTTTTCATTAGACGCAAATACATTTTTAAATATAAATTAAACATAAATTATTTATATATGATAGAATATATATATATATATATATATGTGTGTGTGTGTGTGTGTGTGTATTAAGTACGTTTATATACTTTATATTATCTATAAAGTAT